TCGTTGCCTTCCCTTGCTGCTCTGGCGAGGATCCTAGAGCCGTCAGACAGCCCGGAAGCGCCTGCATGAGTGCCACCCTTCACAAGTCTGCAGCTGATGACCCGGCTGTTGCTAAACTCGACTGCGTCGACCGGGGCGAAACTGTATGGGTTTAAGCGGCCGTGAAAGGGGCATCCTCACCTCAAATGCCGCACTGCGGACGATCGCAAATTCAGAGGAGCAACTATCAAGTGCAACGGCAGTCCAATCTTTTGCCCACGCAACCGGAGCAGCGGCCCCTACAGCCGAAGCAAGAGCCCCAAGCAGCCGCAGTGCAGCCAGCCGTTCCTCCACGGCGGCCTACACACAGCAACAGCAACCATATATCCCGTTCCCACTGAAAAATTAGTACCCTCAGGTGCTCCTATGGAGAAGTACACCTGTTAAGACAATAGGGGCCAAAGCTGACGGCAGAAGCCACACATGCCACCCGGCAGCTATCCCCTCCAATCCTCCCTACAAGCGCAAGTGCGAAGCTAGCTGCAAACAGTGCCTAGTTAGAGAAGTCGTCTTGTTGCAGCTGCACAGTAAACTAACGAATGCATCTCACTGTATTTATCGATATGATTGTCTGTTTGCCTGATTTGTCCTGAACACGGAACTGTGATACACCTCCCTCCTCGGACAGCTCCGCGCCCGCATTCAACGACCCTGCAGCCCCTCCAACCTCCTGGGCGACGCCCATCTGCATGCAAAGAACGTGCACTGGAGGCTGGCTATGCTGGTACCCGACGAAATATCAGAGTCCTCTCCAGGCCAAGCATCTCCCACTGCGGACAGGGGTAGCGTCCACGGCGCCCCGCCGGATGCGGAGAGGATTATGGTGCAACTAACAATTTCTTAAATATCTTTCAGCACAAAGTCTGCGAATGGCTATCCGTCCTCTGAGCGCATCTACCGAGGAACACTGCCGTGTCAAGTAGAGAAAGCCTTTGGCCGCACCTGAATGCTCAACTGGGCCTTCCGTATAACAATGTCCATCAACGGTTGCATCTGCTGGAGTAGCTCCGGGCCGCATGCAGGGGCAGCGACACCTAGGCATACCATAATAGAACTAAAGACTGCTGAGGCCGCGGGAACAGCTTCGCAGGCCAGGAGGAGGCTGTGGAGGCGGTCCACTAGCCAGGGGGCGTCCTGCAGCAGCCAGCACAGCCACATCCCTCAGCAGATGTTCTCCACGCCTGTTCTGTCACCAAAAGCCAAGCACGTGATAGAAAGCAGAGCGACCAGGTCTTGAATCAATCAGGTGTCTTATTTCTGTGCAGATTTGCTGACTTACCGGCCTCAAGACATCCTTGCCCACGGCTGATCCAAGGTCAGCAGCAAACTCGACTGCTGCCTGCAGCAAGCAGCGACCCGAATGCTCCTCCAGCAGCTGTTGCACCTTCTGCTTCCCTGCAGGGTCGT